ATACATTATGAACGCAGCCTAACCATATAACCGTATAACCCGATATTACCCGCATTCCAACCGATTTTTATTTTACGTGTTTATTGCAATGACTCAACCAAGATAATAAGCTCTTTTTACCAAAATATATTTTGTTCAACATGGCAGTAGCACTAGCCCTTTCTTGGGGCACAATTTTCTCTATAAAAATTCCGCCTCAAATTACCGAACGACGCACATATGGATACCGTTAGATATATTTTTGGCTTGCAATTTCAGTCGAAGGTAACAAAAAACACCTTCAAAGATTTGCCCCATTCACCCTTCAAAAAGCCTGACTACAAACCTGCATAACACCTTTTTCTCCTACTACCGTACTACAGTAGGAATACCCTTTACATATGGGTAAAAGCTAGTTGTTATTATTAAAGAAAAAAATGATTTTGACCACCAGGATGTGCCCGAATTTCTGAATCAAGCAGCGGAAGTCAAAAAAAAGGAAGGTTTAGTTTTCTTAATAAAATTGTATTGATTCATTCATTATTTAAAGAACAAATTTAGATAGATTTCTTTAGTTAGCTCTCTTAACTGCAATAAGAAAAGCTTTAATCAAGTTAGAAAAATGATATTTTACTTGTATTTAGAGAACTAACTAAACAAACCAAGTAAATAGTTCATTTACAGTCAGTACATTTGTATGGGAATCCGAGAACGATGCCAGAACTTCTTGGTGACCGTAACACAATCCAACACAATTTATACCACGTGACGGCTAGCGTCGAAAAGGTGAATTCTCTTGTTTCCGCAATTTCCGCTTCAAAAAACAAATGAAATAAGGTAGTTGCAGTTCGCAATCATTTCAATAGTTACACTAGAAATCCATTATGATAACGAGGCTTTCTAGACAGGTAAAATTCGAGAAAATGTTACAGTAAGGCCCGTTCTAGACTAATGTATCCTAGTCAACTACGATGCACTGCGGAACGGAAACAATGAAATGTAATAAAAAGCGCCATTTCCTCTGCCAGGTAATCGAAAATAGCGGTTTTGTAGGTAAAGTTTGGGAATCCACTTCCATTGGTCTTGTTATTCTTGCTAGATGTGTTATAATCATCGTGATATAATGATCTATGGTAAATTTCGAAAGTTGTGATGTCTAACAGTTGGATGGCCGAGATATCATAATAGACCCTTTTCGAGTTCCAAATTACCGCTGTGTTCCTTTATTACAGACTCATTTACTCAGGCTTAGCCTCGATTTTGTGTATAGAATATTCACGTGTTCTAGTCAAGGCCTGTCGAATTTCAAAGTGTTTGTATATTGTTGGAGTTGTGCATTCTTTACTTTACCGTTGGTATTTGTGAATATTTAAACGTAACACTGATGCGAGGCTAAGCGGCCTGAGTAAATGAGTCTATAATCAAGGAACACAGCGGTAATTTGGAACTCGAAAAGGTCTCTATTGCGCAAAGATAATCTGTTATGAGCTGTTATGGGATACCTCTATGCTTAGTATATTGTGGGAGATCTTTGATGAATAAAACTTGCTCGACAACATGAACCTACAACAGAACCTCTCTAAAAATTTCAACCTAGGAAACTTTGGGAATTTGAGGACATTGGCATAGTGAAGTTTTGGGATTTCGTTCCACCAGTGTATGGAAGAACTTCGAGAACGATGTAGGCGAACGATGTGAACAATAACATAGCGGCATCTCATCGTAATTGACTAGGATATATTCTTTAATACAACTAGTTCAATAAGTTCGACTATATAGGGGGAGACTTTGGAGCAACAACTGATTCAGATAGTGTACGCAGTTGTGATGAAACAAATTCGCTGCTTTACAGGGACGACAGGGAAGGGAATATCTCCAGTTCACGGTAATTTAATTATGACTGCTAGATTTTCAAGGCACAGAACTATTATACAATAAACTTTCGGCGAAGGGCTGAGCTAAGAATGGGGAGAAGACCTTTTTCTCATTCCAGATGTGCAAGTGAGTGTGTGTGAATTCTCTGGTTGACGCATGTTTAAATGTTTTGTTAGTATAGAGTATGGAGTTTGGACGCATATCGCGATGAGCTGGACAAGTGATGACTCTACAACGTCAGCAGAACTCGCCATTAATGGTGTAATAGAAGCCACATTAAACTTCTTTGGTACCTTCTCAGGAGCGACTACCAAGGATACTTCCACCTATACCCTTGGGATGCAAAAAAACAGATTTCATGGTTCAGATTTATACTCTTTTAAAGGACACATTAGCAATCCTAAAATGTTTAACAGAAAACTACATATCGATGAGATCAAGAAAGACTTTGCACAATGTAAGTGAACAATGCCTTTTGGGTTCCTCATATATTTATGCCATACTAGTAGTGAAGTACGGTCAACCAACAACGAGGGACGTGCATGGTCTAATTAAGGCGTGATGAAACCAAGTTTAATCAAACAGCTGAGACAATCTATAGCTACTTTCTGAAAGCAGTCTACATGGTTTTACCGTGTAGACACTCCAACCGGGCCGGGACCGCTCTTACAAAGTTAACAATTAATAGACCATTTTCCTGTTCAAAATTACCGCTGTGTTTATTGATTACAGACTCATTTACTCAGGCTTAGCCTCGATGCGTGAAGAATATTCACGTGTTCCAGTCAAGATCCATCAAGTTTCAAAGTGTTTGTATCGTTGCAGTTGTGCATTTTTTACTTTACCGTTGGTATTTGCGAGTAATTAGACACTGATTCGAGGCTAAGCCTGAGTAAATGAGTCTGTAATCAAGGAACACAGCGATAATTTGGAACTCGAAAAGGGTCTATTAAAGATATAAAGAGGTTTCCACTTGGCCCGAAGAAGCCATGATCACATAATATACATAAAAGAGAACTTTTATATGTTGTCAACAACTCGTTGGAATAAAACGGTGTGATTGGCTGAGGACAATATTAATTCTTTTGATTCTGCTTTCTCCTGATTGGCTCCAGTTTAACTCCACACCCTGATTGGTTAATTTTGTATAGTTTAATAAGCGGTGCCTGTATATAAGAGTGCTTACATGGTAAACCTAAGCTAGTTGTTACTATAATATTTTAATTTTCTATCAAATGTTAAACGAATGAATATTTAGTGGCACTGAATAGAATTGTGGAAGCATGGTAGGCGTAGCGGTGAGAGCGACCCGGACTCGTCGTAAGTAGGTAGAGTTGTTTATAGTTTCTCCTGCGCTTCGAGGGATTTTCTAGAAAGGGCCAATATGAAAATTACTCTTTGTAAATCTAGTCACTTTTCCAGATTGTTGATTTTTCTTTGTCACTAACTTTCTTTTCTTTCAGCGATTGATATTCCAGACCTGTCAGCTGTTTGGATTGGCTTAAACAGGACGGACCATACCAGTGAGTTTTCATGGTCAGATGGCAGCCCACATGATTACTTCACATCGCTGGTGACTAATCACCACTGTGCAGCCTCAGGAAAAGATGGCCAATGGTTTGGTAGACACTGCCTTGAGAAAAAGCCTCTCATCTGTGAGAAAGCAGCAGAGTAACTACCTGTAGTAACAGATTTTAACTAGATGCTTTTACTCAATGTTATGTGTATGTGGTTAGTTTGAATGTGTGGTCCAGCCGGCTGACAACAAAACAGGAAGGCGCTGGAGGACCCTGGGTACGAGAGTGTATTTTAATACATCTAAGAAAAAGCTGAGGAGAAATACAACAGACTATCTTGCACTAAAGACGAATGTTTTTTGAAAGAAAATAAGTGTTTGTGGGTCGCATTAAGACATAATGTATAAATGATTTGCTTCATCGGCCCAAGAATTGTTAATGGGTAACGTGTATGGTTAGTATGAAGTGTAGGCACCGCGGGTGGTCACTGTCGCCAGAGTTTCTTTACATCCTCAGTAGAGCCTTTTACATCCCTCCGAATGATTGGTTAATAACGATGAAGTATGGAGGGACTGGAAATTTCTTGCACCCTCCTTGAAATTGTCTTGAAGACGAGGCTAACATGCATATACGAAAAAATGGCACAAGTACCATAAAGAAAAAGTGTGATCAGCTCTTTTTATTTCCATGTGAGCCTCACATCCAAGATACTTTTGAGAAAGGTCCATTGAGGGCCGCAACGCACATTAGAAAAAATAAGGCGCATTGTAGCTAATTATTGTATAAACAATCCTATTAAATGGTTTTAAATGTCTTTTTGCATAAAGATGGGGTTGCTGAGCAATTCGCGATTTATTAATACCTCTTGGCTTGTTAGCGCACAGCATCAAGGAAAAGTAAAAAAAACCAAAAAATCAAAACTAAACAGATGTTTTCTGGTTCGCTTAATCCATCAAAATAAAGTTTGGGAAGTGCGAGAAAAACGAACACAAATAGAGCTCACCACTAGCAGGGAGGGGTTACGGGGGGCACGGG